ATGTTTCCTACCAGAACTGGAGCAGGAGCTGCACAAGAAACCCCAGAGGACCTGCATTGTGAAGATGATGAGCACGAGGAACCTGTGGAAAAACATTGTGGTTCTGTGTGTCAACTCGTAAGTGTGTCGCTAGGCTTGTACAGTTCCTTTTCTAATCAAAGCCAACATCCGTTGTGTTGAGAGAGCATGAATTACACATGAGCTCGTCCCCCAGAGAGAAATGACGCCATGTATGTGAGTGTAAAGCTCGCTCGCCCCGTGGCAGATTCATGTCTCAGGTGCTACCTCCCTGTCCCCTTTCTTACTGTGTGTTTGTGTGCCGTTTGTACAGACTGACAGGTTACGGGATCCACCACTGCTTCGCCCGCAGTATGATGGACCCGGAGGCCCAGCCCACTGCTTTGTGCCACGCGGACTACTACACTATGGCTGGCATCGCTGTGGCAACCTGCCTGGCGCTTTGCCCCGCGGTTGGGTTGATGGGTCGGCGTGGAGGGCTGCTCACCTTCATGATCATAACAGCCCTGGCATCGCTGCTACAGCTGGGTTTACTCAACTGTGAGTAATCACACAGAGAAATACAGAAGTGTCACTAGTTGACCTTTTGTCCTGTAACCATAGTTACGATTACTAGTTGGACCGACTGTATGCATATTTTACCAGCTGGAGCTAACTAGCTAAATAACTTATTATGTAGTTAAAGGTCCAGTGTGTAACATTTACGTGGATCTATTGGCACAAATGGAATATAATATTCATAGGTAGGTTTCCAGTTCTTAATCTTTTCTTTATCTACAGCGATATCTTCTTCTATGGCGGGTCCGCCACGTTGAACCACCGTGTTTCTACAGAAACCAAACACTGGCTGTAGATAGGACCTTTCACGTTTTTTTTTTTTTCAGAGTTTTGCGGCCTACACACTTCACAGCCGTTCTCTAACGAAACGTGATGATTACTATAGAAAAAAACCCACTTGAGTAAAGACACACAAAGATGTATCCCTCTTTTACAAGAGAAATGTTTCAAGCACGAGCAGTAATCAATGAATATAGCATATAAATGCTATGTCAGCATAAACACTGATAAAAAGTTCGTCATTACAACCGGCTCTCAGTGAATTTGTCAGTCCTGAATGATGCTTTTTCTAAAATAACCTGACAAATTAATACACTTACCTAACGTTATGCTATCCCTTGACCTTGGAAGTAATGCTAGTTTATAAATGTAAGTAGGAAGACAGTTAGCCAGGCATGCAAACATTAGCTTTTTAGCTTAGTGCTGAAAAACTCCATCGCTTACACCTTTGCTCTTGTATTTTCTGTTTTAGAAAGGCTGGGAAGAAAACTCAAAACTGTTTGCATGGTGGACTTTTCTACCTAGTGCCTCATACGCTTCGCTTCATCTGGATAGATTGTTAAATTGTAATTGGGCAATTTCTGTTCTCAGCAAAAGTTAAAGCTAGAAAAATCTGTTCAGAAAGTTAGGAAAAAACTGACTTGGACACATATTGCAAAACAAAGTTGAAATTCAACAGGAAACTAAGATGTACTTGCACATTTTGCACGCCATCCCTGTGTCATTAAAACAGTACAGACTGCAGTTCAACTCTCTAAGTCTAATAGCCTCCCCTCATTGTCCCTGTTTTGACCTACATATGCAGTACAGAAGTCATTATTTCAGGCCCCAGTGGTAAACTGTTCTCCCAAAGGCTTTTTTTTTATTCTGCTTGTTTTGAGTCAGCACTGTGCTGCCCTTTGTGCTTACTAATGACATACTCTTCCTCTTCTTTCTCTCCTCTACTCCCCACTGCTTGTTAATGGAATCCAGTGATTGGGAAGTACAGCCTTCGCCATGACACAGGTACGGCTACAGTTTGGTGATTTGTGATAGAAAATGATGAAACTAAAATAGTCAATCTGTTGAGCTGAGGGTTATGATACTGTTTCCTGTAGTCTAATTGTAAGCTCCCTGTGCTTTATGTTAAATTAGCTGTTCGTGTTTGTGGCATACTCATGTTTTCTTGTCCTCCTCTGGACAGTTCTTCGTGACTCTCTGAACAGGAGATTCTCGGTGGCCTTCTCCATCATTGGCATGTTCTCCTCTCACGCAGTCAGCACACTCAGCATATTCTTCTGTGCTGAAATCACTCCAACTGTCATCAGGTGAGGCCGGATGGTCATAAACGCATAATAATACAACATGTAGGGGAGCCGTATTACTTTCCATTGCACCTATACATACAGTGGCTGATGAAGCATAGAGGACAAGCTCTAGGCTGTGTCCGAAATCACTTCCTTTATGTTACCCATGGTGAACTCTATTTACAACACTATGTGCCATTATATTTGTGTCCACATTCTAATTATACAACTTGAAAAGTGTGATTTATTGTCAAATTAAAGTCCAAAGAGTCACTTCAACACCTATTTTGTGTCCAAATGCCATAATACATACTCATTTTAAGTAGGTTTGAGTATGTAACGTATTAAACTTACACACTGAGTTTCCACAGCAGGCAGAAATAAGTGTTATCTTTAATTTATTGAGACAAAATGTTTTCTGCCATTCGGCTTTCATCAGTGTCGCAACTTTGCAGTACAAGATGCCCCATAAATAGCCCCTTAGATGAGTTCCAAACTGTCTACAGTACAGTATAGTGTATTTTTTCTTGTTAGTACAAAATGTTAAAGGACATTGATTTGTGCAGAAAGTACAGTATACTGTAACAATTACTGTATAGTCCGTACTGTATATTATTTCAACGTATGGAATCTGTGGACACGGCTCTTGTTCTCATGTTGCTTATTGGCTCCATCTTGTGGTGGAGTTTGGACTGACAAGTGAGTATGGACTCGAGGATGCTCTTAAAGGTTTCAGGATGCTTCAAACGAACTAGTTTGTCCAAAGTGTTGTCTGAAAGCAAACATGTTTATACCTGTTGTGTGGCCACGCTCGAAGGCATCGAAGGAGCGAGACAAGCGGTGGTAAAGGACACTTTCAGTAGGAATGATCTGGAAAGTCGTTAAACTGTTTGGAAAAAGGGCAGGCACTTTAAAAAAATACTATTACTTACAATACCTCTCTCTGTGTGTGCAGGGGTGGAGGGCTGGGCCTGGTTCTGGCCAGCGCCGGCTTCGGTATGCTCACCGCACCCATCATGGAGCTCCACAACCAGAAGGGCTACTTCCTGCATCATGTGATCTTCGCCTGCTGCACCCTGTTGTGCATCATCTGCCTGCTGCTGCTGCCCGAGCCGCGGGGCCAGCCCCTGCCGGAGAGCCTGGCCGACGGAGAGTCCTTCACCCGTCAGACCCTGCTCCATCCAGGAGAGCAACACCTCCTTCTCGCCAAGAGTGACGGGGACTACTCCCGAGTCCACGACACGCCGTTACACCTCACAGCCACTGGAGGCGCTACAGTGGCGGTAGCCACCGCTCTGGCAGCGGTACCGGCCTCATACGCCCTGGCGACTGGCGGGGAGGTGATTGGAAACCGTGCCATAGCCAATGGGGTGTGAGCATCATAGCAATAGTCTACTACAGTGCTATTAAATTGCTCAAGCATTAACCTGACTGAATGAGAAACTTGAACTTGTGGGAAAAAACTTTTAAGGGAAAAAAGAATCGTTCGGATGAACCAGATGAACTCTTAACATAAGGTTTGAGATGGTGACGATAGTACATTTGTGTAGTTTGTAGTGACTATGATTCATTCAGGAGTTGCCAAAAAAATATTGTACTGGACTAAGTTTATCTGAAGTCAGTGTGTTGAATAAGTCTTCAAGTGGTGTTGGTGATTTTCTTGCACTGCTGTCCGCTCTGTCGAGAATGATTTACAGGTACAAGAAGCAGACGCAGGCAAGCGAAGAGGCAAAGTAGAGCGACTAGCTTTCAATAATGTGTGCTCTGTGAGTTTTCTGTTTGTAGTTTTGACTCGTTGGGAGAGGATTTCACTGCATATAATTCTTTATAAGTTATTTTGCACTAAATGTCAGAGACACAATCAAGTGTTTGTGATTTTATGCCAACACATTGGAGATCCAGGGATTGGCTAAACCACTACCACTCTTTGCATGAAAGGGCACAAATACTTTTACATGTTTATTCTTCTTATTTGTGGTCCCTCTACTAGAAGTCCAATGTGGCACTTTATCCTTAGAGGTGAGGTCAGTGTAGACACTGATTTTTAAAGAATGCATTACTGCTGTTGGTGTGGGTGTATGATGGTTGTCTGACGTGACGAACAGCCGGAGACCTTTGGCAGAGTGTACGTGTAGCCGACGGGGACTGTGGGTGAGACTGAACAAATCTGAGAGTTGAACGGACATTCGAGTGTACTTCTGTATGTCTTATGACACATCTCAGCATTTAAATGGCTTTATCGTGATGGCTCTGTTCTTTTAACAAAACAGAGGATGTAATTTAAGAAAATCAGTATTTATTTTGTCATGCTGCCAAGGGCAATTTGTTGCTTGAAATACCTCCTTAATTAGCAAATATTTCCACTCCAACTCTCACTCCTTGTTCTCTGTACCGTGGTAATGTTGTAATCCTGCTCCTAGGATGTGTAACTCTAGCCAGAAAGCACAATATTTTACAGTTTTTTGAAATAAACGTTTGTGAAGATTAGAATAGAGCAGAGTCGTCTGCATAGACCTGGCATAGTCGTGATTAGTGTACATTTATACACTTTACTATGTAAGTATCCCTTAGGACTGCATAAAAACGTAAGGTATGTATACATGTGCCATTCATTCATAATGTAGCCACCTTACTTTTATAGAATATAAGCACAGTGAATAGATAAACCATCCCATAAACCATTTTTATGTCCAAATGTACCTGAATCCACAGATCCAAACATTCTCCATTTTTTAAACCATATTTAGTACACAGCACGTATTTTGAACACCCTGTATGGTTTTGCTAGTGTGTATGTTTTCAACAGTTAAACATTCAGAGAGAGAGAAGAAGAAAAAAAAAAGAACTCAACCACTAATGCTGTTTTCTAAGTGTTATTTTTTTAATATGATGCATTTGTACAAAAAGCCATAGGCCTACATGTTTTGATAATAAACCACTTAATTTATTATGTCAATAAAAGAACACTTGATGTGACCGTCTGTGGTTATTGTGTCGGGGTACGATTACAGTGTCGGAAAGCAGTATAAAAGTCCAAAGAGCCGGAGAAGCTACAATTGCCCTACATGTCCTCGCTTCAATAAACGGTCAGACGTGTTTAAAAGTGTTCAGGGTGAAGCTCCAGCTCCTTTTTGATCCTGTTCTCCACCAAAAGACTGAAGTTGGAGTCTGTCATCGGAACACTGTAACTCACGTATACTTGCTTTTTAGTCTTCTTTGCTGCAAGAGAGACAGACACAATTATTTCAGCTTTAGTTTAGATAATACACACAAGAGTTTGCTATGTATGTGTACAATTATGCCCAAGTTATCAGCCTTGGACGTTAAGAGCCAAATGTTTCCTCTCTGTCACTATGTTTAGGTAAATGGACCTTTACAACAATGTCTATCAGTCATTTTCCACAGGTTTTTGTGTGTCTTCCTGCACATTTCAAGGAGCCACTGGTTTCAATTACATTCAGGGCGGTATGAATATCAACTTGTGAAGACTTGAAACTTGCTTGACATCTGTAACCCATTACAGTGAACATCATTATCACTTTTATTTTTGTCAAACCTGTGTTATCATGTTAGTGCACAGTGGAGACTTTTTAAATACTGTAAAACTAAACAGCCCAGGCTTTTATTTGCTTCAGTCACTCAACTCAACCTGACTTTATTTGGAACAGGCCTCTATATGAGACGGTCCTTTAATTCCTCTTGCTCAGCAAAGATGGGAAACTATCAAATTGTTCATTTAAACCAGTATGAATATTAATTGTCAAAGAAATTAGGCTATTGAATAAACATCAATTACAAATCATTAATTTAATCACAAAACACGTTCAAAAATCTGAGATCGTCAGCAGTAAAGTAGCTTATAAGTGACTTCTGGCGTAAACATCTTTAATATCTACAAATCACTGATCACTACGGCTGAGAAGAGCTTTTTAATAACTTATTATAAATGTCTACATTAGCAGCACTCGCACATAAACTGATGAAAAGTCATCCATCATTACCTAATCTCTGTGCCAGGGAAGTTGGAGCCGTATTGGATGGGTCCCCCATGACTAATGTAGATAAAGGCATCGAATCCTGCAGACAAACAAACAATAAATAGAAAAGCAGTTAGTCTCACAAGGACATAAATTATTGGCTCTTAACATCACAGATAATGTTTTATTTTCTTAATATCTGTCGGCCGAGGTGCTCCCAAGGGTCTTCAAACTAAAGGAAACAGGCTTTTGCTCAAGTGGGAGTCACTGGGGACGCGTGCCTGAGGACTCTATGGTTTGTGGTACATTGTGGTATATTTTACCCACTGTGCTGGAATAGTACTGAACCATAAAAAGGACCTTAAGACTATGAGCCAGGTCCAAAATACATAACAGAACAAGCCTTCTTCTTAAAGCGTCAACTCACACAGAGTGTAGTATTTAACTGTGGATGCTTCAGGTGATAAAATCCTCTATCATGCAAATGTTGATTTATACAACACAATAGAAGTGTGAATAGATAGTATAATCA